TCAACATTCTTGCCATTGGCTCCCTGCCAACACTTCCTGGATACCCACCCCTCCCTGCCATCACACAAGGGAATACCTGAAATGGGCCTGAACCCTGTACAAACTGACTTGCAGAGGAAATATTAGCATGCAGTCCATCTACCTGTCACCTGGGGCACCAGAACATAGTGGTCAAGGGGGCCGTGGGCTTCCCACATTTTACCAGCCACAAGGTTGAGTGATAGGGGATGAAGGGGCAGAGAGGAGTTAGGGGGTGCAAGGTTTGGGGGGAGGGTGAAAAGGCAGCATGTGAGGAAGGCCTCAGGGAATGGACAGTTTGAGGGTGGAGGCTTGTGGAGAAGGAGCAGTGTGTGAGTGGGACCTGGTGGGAAGGGTTAATGAAAAGGCTCAGCTTTTCCTGGAGTATGCTACTAAGGTGTCAAGGCTGTTCCCGTATGTACCAGCTCCTACCTGCCCTCCCCGGTGCTTCTGCCTCTGAGAGAGGCATGGGAGGGGAGTGGAAGACGCAGTTTTGAGGGAGCCAGCACGCATAGGGCAACAAAAGGGGAGGGGCCCATGTAGTCATTAGGATTAACTATCAGTTAATTGTGTAAAAGACTAACTGGTGTGCAGGCAGGCGCATCAGGGAAAAAGTAACACAGGGGCAGAGCCCAATTCAGACGCTAATATCCCACCCCGCTCTTTTAGGAATCTTCTGCCACTCCTGCATATTTATCTTCTCAATCATACATAACACTACATATCAGCAATTCCAACCTCTGCATCATTGAGATGCAATTCCTTCCACTGCAAAGCTGGACCTGCCTGCAGTCCACAAACTCCATTACATAAAAACAGAAGTCAAACACACAGCCTTGCCTCCAACCATATAATTTTCCCATTAAAGAGCTACAATTTTGTGATTACCAACATGTAGTTTATCTCTGTAACATCTCCCTCTTCCGCCTGTCAGACAGTTCACTAATACTTCTCATCTGTGCATGCATTCTCTATAATCAAAGTTCATCTTTATTGTGTGCTAGTCAAACAGAATGTATTATTTTCTCTCTGTTCAAAACAGTCTGCTATTTCGTTCTTGTCGCCTCTACACTAAAGCTAGTAGATATTTCGTAAAATCAGAGGTATTTGCTACAAACCTGAGTATTTTAAAGCTGGAGTAAAGCTTGCCTGTAAGTTTTGTAATGTATGTTTTTTTTGTTATGTAAGTTTTAAGTAATTGGATGGTGGGTAGTTGTAGACTGGTATAAAAAGGGAATAAATGGTGATGGTGGGTAGGATATTTATAAAATTAGCCTACATCTGACATTTAATCTAGATGGAAACTCTGGATTTATTACAATCCAGCCATCTATTAGCTAGAGGGAACCAAAGAAATATTCCACTGCAAGTTGAAATTTAAAAGGTAGCCATTTTTAGCTGCTTCTAGTAGCTAAGCTACTGAATAAATTGACTTCTAGCTTGTCTGAAGATGTTGGCCTTGCCCTGAGAGTTGTAAATTAGGAGCTACTACACACTGTATTTCCCACCGAAGGAAAGGATTCAATTCCTATTGTAAATGGCACTTACACGGTGACTTATTGTTGCTTCGTAGGCCTCTATCGTACCATTATCTAATCTAAACTATTTTAATCTAATTTAATTATAGGAATTTATATGTAATCAATTGCCATAGCATCCCAGACTGTATAAAAAGCATATTGCTCCTTATAAAAATAAATGGAATTGATGCCTTCCTAACCTGACCCTTATGAGTAAAGAAAATCCAACTAGAAATCTTTAAAGTATAGGAGTTTTGGGGTGTGATTTCAGATGCTTTCTGTAGACTGGAAACACAATGGAAACTGCCTGGATATTGATTAGATATTGCACCACAAGTGAGTGTGTTGACAGAGATATGTAAAGAGGGTGTTGGTAGGATCTAAGGGGAAGAAAGTTAACAGTGGTTTTGAACCTCAAGTTAAAATTTGAGAGGAGGATATAGTCTCTACCAATGTGGTTAATAGACTCATACAGATTAAGAGACCACAGTTAATCATCTGCTCTAGTTCTCTGCACTGAAGCAGGACTAAGTATTAGCTAGGCCATCCCTGGCTAACCTGTTTTTAGAAACCTTCACAAAGTACAGCTTTCCCAGGTAATTTGTTCCAGTGCTTACCTACCCTTACAGTCAGGACATTTTACCCTAACTTACATCTCTGCTCCTGCAATTTAAGCCCATTGCTTCTTGTCCTGTCCTCAGCAGTTAAGGGGAACAATTTATCACACGCCTCTTTATAACAATCTTTTGTGCACTTGAAGACTGTTATCATGTCTCTCATCGGTGGTCTTTTCTCCAGACTACACAAACACATTTTTGTTTTTTTGTTTTTCAATTCTTTCCTGGTAGATCAGGTTTTCTAAACTGCCAATCATTTCTGAGGCTCGCTAATTTGTCCACTTTCCTGAAGTGTGGTGCCCAGAACGGGACACAGTACTTACTGGTGCTCTGTAGAGTGGAAGAATCATTTTGTGTCTTGCTTACAACACTACTCTCAGTACATCCCCGGAATAATGTCCTCTTTTGTTTGCAAGTGTTTTGTTTGCAATATTGTTGACTCATATTTAATTTGTGACCTTTTGTTTGCAAGGGTATTACATGGTTGACTCATATTTAATTTGTAATCCATTGTAAACCCCAGATCCTTTTCCACAGCACTCCCTATTTAATGATGTAGCCCTGCCATGTCTGTCGATGGGGGAAGGCAGGAGGGATGACAAAGGATGCTGTTGCCCTAGGGCCCAGTGATTCAAAGGGGGCTTTGGCTGTCACTGCCTCTACAGAATGTGTGACAGTGGCCGGAGGTTGGGGCCCCTTTAAATCGCCGCTGGAATGCTGCTCTGTGCAACTCGGAGTACTGGGGGGAGTGCCACAGTCCGAGCCGTGCTGAGGGCTGGCTTCCTGCCCCTGCCCCTTCTGCCTGAGGCACCGTCCCCATACACATCCCTTTCCCTGAGCTCTGCTCTGTTAATCTAGCTCCCCTGCGACCTCCAGGAGCTCAGAAAAGATTTAAATTCCTATCAGGGCAATGATCACGCTCCTTTTCCTTCTATTTATCCTCTTGTTCATGTCTTTTGGTCTTTCAGCTGTACAGCTCTATGGATTTTGGAAGACGCTGGCAGCTAATGCATGAGCGAATCACGCCGAACAGGTTTTACTGGTGAGTGGTCCCCTCAATCGCCTTTTGTGTTGTGCAGACAATGTAGCTTGTGTGTGTGTGTAACATCCGGAATAAGGCCCTGAGGGTCCCAGGATCTGGAATGATTAAAGTACTGCCAAACCCAAGTGTTCAGAATTTATTAGGGTGGTCCCCAACATCCTGAGATTGACTTAGGAGTTTCTTTAAAAAGGTTTGGAGTTTTTAATGTCCTCTGATGCCTTTGCACAGTGGAAGGGACGTGTTCTCAAGCCTTTCAAGCTGCAACTTTGAGGGTTAGAAATGTAAAGAAAATAAGAGTGCTGGGAGTCTCACATACTCCCTTGACTCCAGGAGCTGGTGCTTTAAGAACAACATACCAAATCTAGTGAAACTTGTGATTACTGCTGTTGTTGATTCTTTCCATTACGTTGTGGCCCAGGAGACTGGGGCAGGGGCTTTTAAACAGAATCAGTGTGCTATTTAAAGAGCATGTTAGGGTTTTTTTGTTTTTGTTTTACATGTTAAAATGTATTTTTATCATCAGATGCCTGGGGAATAAAGGTTCGCCTCCTTCACAAAGAGAAAGCTGTGGTACTGAGTCTCACAGTCCAGGTTGGTTGACTGGCTCCCACGGCTCATGCTGCAGGATTAAAAATATCAGCATAGACATGTTGGAGCTTGGACTCTGAGGCTACGTCTACACTACAGGATTTTTGTGCCGGAAACCCCTTGCACCAAAACGGCTCGATTAGATTATGCAAATGAAGCACGACAAAATGCTAATCAGTGCTTTATTTGCATACTGTCTACGGCAAGCCAGCAGTGTAGATAAAGCCTCAGTGCTGTGGGTTTTCTTTGGAGTGTAGACAAACCCAAAGTGGCTCAGGAGCTGATGCTGAGGGGGAAACAATTTTAAAAGCTCTTATGTGAGCTAGTAGCTGAAGTCCCCATTTCTAAGGAGAGTTATGTACTTCAGAACCTGAGTCTTGTTGAGAACCAATGGGATTTCAGCTGCTCGTGTGCCAAAGGGGGAGATTTTCCGAGGTATTTAGCTATCCAGAGATGGAGATAGGTGTCTGTTGGGAATTTCAAAAGAAGCTAGGTGGTTTAGGTGCTGAACTCCCAGTGGGACTAGCTGGGTAGTGTTTTAAAGGGCTTTAGGTGCTTGAAGCTGTAGATGTGCATTGAGGTGCTTTTGAAAAGCCCACTGAGGATGTATCAGTGTTTTAGATGCCTAAATACTATCTGGCCTTATGTCACTTTTGAAAATGAAATTTTGGTTCCTAAATCACATAGGCCTGCTTGAAAAATGCCCTTTTTTCTCAAAGTTACTTGTCTTGTTTTGGTGGTAGATTGGGTTCCCTAAATGTTGTTTTCTCCTCTAACTCCCCCGAGTCAAGCATTTTTGTCAATGGACAATTAAGCTGATAGCCGTTTTTTGGAACTGATCTGGGGAAAAGACAGGGCCCAGGATCAAAGGAAGAAGCCCTTTTGATTTAATGTAATTATTCCTGGTTGAAAACATTTCCTTGGCTCCATTGATTTATCTTTCCTTCACCCTACCTCAGTTTACCTTCCCAGAAGTCTCTATCTTAGCCACTCCATCTCCTCCACTCCTGCTCTGTTCTGTTGATGTTTATGTGACCTACCAGCCAGTGTATGCAGTACAGTCCTGAGAATGTGACTCTTACAGCTCCCAAGTGTACAGGGTAATTTTTAAATTTAAAATCAAGGGGCTTAGGCTTTTAGCTCTGGGCTTACTGGTTCACTCCCTATTGTTGGTCTAGAGAGTAGATACCTCTTGGTTACAGTCAGTGAGGAAAATATTTCAATAACAAAAGGTGGTTGAGAACAATTATTTTTCTCTGGAAAATATTTCAGAAAATGAAAAAAATATTTTTGCTAAAATTTTTCACGAAAGAGTCTACTTTTTTGTTGGAACACCAAACATTGAACTTAATCAGCAAAAAGGCAAAACATCTTTGGGTTTTTGTTTCTTTGTTTTTGCAAACAAAAGTCAAAGTTTTCTGTGGGAATAAAATATCTTCCATGAAGATTTTCATTTTTGTGAAAAACCCATTTTTTGTCCAAAAACAGTGGAGAGGGATAATTTTTGATCAACCCTATCAGTAACACGTTGGTTAGATTTTGCTTTTTATTTTTTTAGTCATTCAGTTTGAAAGCCTGCCAAATGGAAACAACTTTGAACTTTGAAAAACATTTCACTAAAAAAAAATCTTAATTTTTAACCATCTTTAAAAATACTGTCTGTAATAGGGTCTACTGGCCTTTTACAGCATGGTCTTGTTCATCTCAGAAGAAGGGGATTGTGGGACTTGTAGTCCAGAAGGACCATGGGAGTTGGAGACTGACAAAAAATGCTGGGGTGGGGAGCGTTTTTATATATTCTCCCTTCCTTTGGTGCAGACAATGTACGAGGGAACAAGGTTTGCTTTTTGCTTGGTTCTATGTCGGAGGAAGTTGTGGGATGTCCCTCATCAAAGGAGAACCCATAACAGAAGTTAAATCAGTGCTGTACTATGTGTATAATTAAAGAGGACTAAGAACATCGACTACCCTAGTTAGTGGCAGCACTATATACAAAGGTGACAACCTTACTGGAGCAATAAAAGGGACCTAACTCAAACACATGAGCAGGTTGGAGTTGCCATTCCAGATGTCGCCTCTTTTTTGAGAGAGGCAGAGGTTCATTGGTTCCTGGAAAATGTGTCAAGAAAGCTTTATTCCACATAGAGGCAGCAGAATCCCAAAGATGATAAACTTTCCAAGAGAACAAATTAGGTTGTTCGCACTATGAGCAAGATTTGAACCACCTTATCGTAATACCAGGGTCAGGGATTTTGAAACCTGCAGTTCTTTTTTATTATGCTGCAAGCTGTGATTGTTGTTCAGCGCCTGTAAGCTGTGTGTGGGAAAGAGCGAAAAAATAAAAGGCGCACACTGAAACTTTGGGAGCTTGCAGGGTTTTTTTATTACTACATGGAGCGTGTCGAACACGAATATATAGGATCTTTTACATTTCAGAGCGACACGCAGATTTTTTTTATTACTACATGGAGTGTGTCGAACGAATATATAGGATCTTTTACATTTCAGAGCGACATAAGCTGCTGCTCTTTGGGTTCCACCATTATGTAAAAAGCTAAGTCATCAGACTGTGTTACTGAAACATTCAGGAGGCATGAACTAAGAGCAACAAAGGGCTTGTCTCCACCATAGGTTGGATCGACGCTGCAGCGATCGAATGTTACTGAAATGTTCAGGAGGCATGAAGTAAGAGCAACAAAGGGCTTGTCTCCACCATAGGTTGGATCGACGCTGCAGCGATCGACTCACCAGCAGTCGATTTATCACTTCTGTTTAGACATGACATAACAACCTCCAAGCACTCTTCCATCGACTTCAGTACTCCACCAGGACTAGAAGAGTATGCGGAGTTGACAGGAGAGCATCAGCTGCTGAACTTACTGCATAGAAGACACCGCGGTCAGTAGGTCTAAATACGTCGACATCAGCTGCGCTATTCACGTAGCTGAAGTTGCGTATCTTACTGCATGGAAGACACCGCGGTCAGTCGGTCTAAATACGTCAACATCAGCTGCGCTATTCACGTAGCTGAAGTTGCGTATCTTAGATCGACGCGGGGGGAGGGGCGTAGTGTAGACTAGGCCAAAGAGTTGCCTTTGTTGGTCTTTAGAGGCAGTTGCAAATGTGGGTGCCTCCAAATTAGGGGGCTGGAGCGCATGACCTATGAGAAGAGGCTGAGGGATTTGGGTTTGTTTAGTCTGCAGAAGAGAAAAGTGAGGGGGGATTTGATAGCAGCTTTCAGTTTCCTGAAAGGAGGTTTCAAAGAGGATGGAGAGAGGCTGTTCTCAGTAGTGACAGATGGCAGAACAAGGAGCAATGGTCTCAAGTTACAGTGGGGGAGGTCTAGGTTGGATATTAGGAAAAACTATTTCACTAGGAGGGTGGGGAAGCACTGGGCTGGGTTCCCTAGGGAGGGGGTGGAATCTCCATCCTTAGAGGTTTGTAAGTCTCAGCTTGACAAAGCCCTGGCTGGGTTGATTTAATTGGGGGTTGGTCCTGCCTTGGGCAGGGGGCTGGACTCGATGACCTCCTGAGGCCTCTTCCAGCTCTAGGATTCTATGATTCTCAATCGGTTATTAACTGGTTTGAACAGGCCCCTTACGGCAGAGGGAAAAATCTCCACCTGACGTGAGGGCCGTTGAAGTCCTCCGAAGCAGCTTTGTCAAAATACCACTTGCCGTGTTAGCAGCTCTTACTGCTGTCCCAAGCCACCGCTCATTTGCAATGCTATAACCATCTGCTGTTCTACCGACACAGCCAGGTTTCATCTTTCTTCCCTTTACTGTGTGATGTCCTCCCAAATAATTACCCCATCCAGGGCCCGGCGGTTTCCATAGTGATAGATTTTAAGGCCAGACGGGACTATTTTGATGATCTGAATTGGCTTGCAGCATAAGGCAAGCCATAGAACATCACAAGCCCATGGGTTGGGGGCTGAGCTCAGGTCTGGGCTATTGAGCGTTCTACAGGAGTAGATTATGATGCTCTTTCTTTATGTAGTAGCAATTTCTCAAACATGTGGTCTCTTTGAATTGAAGTAGAATGCCATGGGAAAGAAGGTGGCTCTCAGCATGTGGCTCTCCAAATGTGGCCGCCCTATGTCATCATGGCTTTAAAGTCATTAGGATCTCAGGATACTACAGGGCTAAATATGGGAGCTGGTACCAATGGGAAGCGATTTTCCCATATTCCATTGTGACCCTATCCCCAGAGCAGCCCAAGGTAATTGCCTTTCAATCTGCCTCATTTTTAGGCAATGAGAGAATATCTGAGTTCAGTTTTCATGGCTCCTCCTGAGCCCCAGCTAAATTGAATTCCTGGTATCTAAGGTTATGTCTACACTACCCAGCTAGTTCGAACTAGCGGGGTAATGTAGGCATACCGCACTTGCAAATGAAGCCCGGGATTTGAAT